TCTATATATATATATATATATATATATATATATATATATATATATATATATATATATAAAGGTATGTTAGATGCATTCCCACCTTCTCGGACCCATGGATTTTGTGCAAATGTTTTGAATATGTAAGTATGAATAATCCATTTTCATACCTAAAAGTTTCCTCCCTATTTTATTTCCCTAGCATTATATGTGGATCCAAACATACCCTTAAAAGAGAGAAAAAAAGAAGAAAATATTCAATAACATAGTTTTTACAAAGAGCTTGGGCAGCAGTGGGTCTGATAATTATGTGAATGTTTCTTCATAAGTTATGCTTATCCTAACTTATTCTATCTTGCTGTTGGAAGCCATTCTCACACACTCCAGTTGCAAATTGTCAACACATTATCATGTTACTCAGATGGCACATGTTGCTGCGAAGTCATCTATACAAGAGAAAGGAATTAATCAAAGTTAGTTATTAATTGTGTTTCTCATGACAACAGAAGCTTGCTCTTTCAAGAAAAGGAATGAGGATCAAGCTCTGTAGATAAAATGGGTGGAAGTAATCCTATAGCAAATAGTTTAGAATACTACTTTGTAATTTGGAATTGAATTGTGTAAGTTGGAGTTGAATTCATGCTCAATTATAGTCCATGTGTTAGCGTAGTTCTTGTTTTCTAATTATCCATGTTTTCTATGTTATGGATTTGTGATACTACTGAATTTGATATTTTTTTTAAATAAAAATTGACTTTACAGAGCGGATAAATATCCGCTGTGTACACTATATCATTTTTTAAGAACCCTTACACAGCGGATATTTATCTGCTGTGTAAATCCTTTCACAGCGGATAAATATCCGCTGTGTAAACATGATACCTATTGCACCGGTCACATACACATCGGTTGATTTCCGCTGTGAAATGTCAAATTTATCCGCTGTGTATTCCCTATCCTGTAGTAATGCATCCGTTGCCTCCGCCCACCAGAATACTACTACCGTTGATCAGTGAAAAAATCATGTTGACGTCATATTACATACCCTACTTATTTTTTCCTACCTGTCACTGATCCGTTGACTGGTCACACTGTCATATCACACTGTCATCACTTATCAATTATCACAATGTCAACATGTAATCTTGCGTCACACTGTCATTAAACTCGTATTTTGGTCTTAAAAGAGCTAGGACTTCGATCTATTTTGGTATTTTTCATACTTTTTACTCTTATCCAGTAACATTTTATAAGGGAGGACTCCATAAAAGTTAAAAGTTATGAAAACACCAAAATAGGAGTCATGGGTCTTTTAAGACCATACCAAAATAAGAGTTTATACTATTATTGTTAAACTATTACACTCACCATATTATCACATTGAAGTTCCCATACAACCATTTCCACCAGCCCACCACACTACTATATATCAGTCGCTGCCGGCCACATAAGTGCGGCCACCGATCACCAGAGGGTGACTGGACATACTGCCTTATTTCGCTCTCATGACTTTTCCATCATACTGGCAACATGTATTCTTACATCACACTGCCATAGTACTCCAATTTTGGTCTTAAAGATTTAAGATTTTTATTTTGATATTTCTATACGTTTTTACTCTCATCCAGGGAAGATTGTAAATTTTGATCATCAATTTTGAAAAAAAAATGTTATAATTAAATTTATCTTTTAAAATACTTCCAAAATTTATTTTGTTTTATCAATATACATATAATTTTAATTTAAGTAATGTGTGATGATAGATTATCAAAGAAAAAATATGCATGGTGTGATAGGTAGGGTATGAAAAAATAAGGTTAGAACAATTTGTTTTTTAATAGAAAGTAAAAATGTTTTGTTGAATGTGGAAAAAATGAAAGAAGAAATGTTTTTGAGAGCGAAAAAGTACTTAATTATAGAAGTGAATTAATTATTGTGAAACAAAGATTTAATTAAGAGACGATGGATCGGAGGGACGTCATCACCTGCTTCTACTGTGTGTCCAGTGTCTACCTCCATTTCCGTAGCCTATAAATATGGAAATGGGTACTCCATTTGATTCCATTCTCAAAAAACACAAACTATCTCTCTACACTATATACACAGTTTGTTTTAAATTAATTAGTAACTCTTCCTCTAGCCACTATCATTCTCTTATTATTATTATACCGAGTAGAAAATGACAAACCCAAGCATCTTCAAAACACGCTCAGTTTTTGTATTTTTCATCATCTGTCTATTGCTCTCTGCAGAGGCACGCATCGTCAACAACATCAACAACAACAATAATAATCCTAAAAGTGACGATGATGAAACCCAGCAGCGGTCTTTGGTTAGTCTCAAGGGATTCGTTAACCCCTCAATGATCATTGGAAAATCTAAAAGAAGATTCCTGCAGGACGAGGATCCGAATAGAGTGGCCCCCGGAGGTCCAGACCCACACCATCATAATTGGTAAATAATACTCCTTCTGTCCACTATAGATCTTCTTAGTCACTATTTATAGGGTCAAATTTAACTTACTTTGTCTGTTTATTTTTACTTCTCATTTCATAAAATAATATAGTCTTGTCACCTGTAGTTTTGTAAAATTTTTCATGAACTTTTTACTATATAATTTTTATTTTTAAATTTTATCCTTACAATCAAATAAATTGAATTGAAAATAAAATCGGTCAAACCTCGTAACGCGCAATGAGAAGATTTTTGGTGGACAGAGGGAGTACCCCGTACTAATAATGTTAGCTACTATACGTTCATTATATTTGATTTGTACAACAAGGAAATAGCCAAATTGAATTTTATTATTAATTCTCTTTTCAGATAAATAAGCAATACTGATCGGAATATGAAGATGGATCCAGCTCGTCCGTGTGCATGGTTGCATCATGCAGATAGCGAGCTATATAGCTAGCTCTTGTATAATTATAACGTCTATATATAAATAAATAAATAAATGTGGGATGGATCGATCGATATTAATTAATACTATAAGTTGCGTGAGCTGTTGTATAATATAATTATTGTCTTGTATGTGTTTCTCTTTAATGTGATATATAAATAAAATAAAGTCACTTTGTTCATTATTCTCCCATCAATTTCAATTCCAGTTACATTTACATACACTCGTCAATGCATGTTTTAACAAAGCCTAGCTTACTAGCTAGATGAAAACTACTCCCTCCGTCCTTAAATTAACTTCTCATTTAACTTTTCACGGTCTCCAATGCGACACTTTGACCATCAATATCTCAATTTTTATATAAATATATTTTATAAAAATTATATATTTCAAAACTATGTTTCAAAATGAATATATTGGTAATAAATTTATATGAAAATTCAATGTACTTTTTCCGTAATATACGGTCAAAGTTTAAAAAGTTTGACTACAAAAGTCAAATTGGGAAGTTAATTTTGGGACGGAGGGAGTATAAAGTAAAGGGTTTACTTGCCATTCCACGCCACCTTGGTTTAACGCCTCCCTTTCTTACTTTTGACTCGTGTGGCATCCTTAGAAGCATGGACAATGGTGAGGCAAGAATGGAATGTCACACGCTGACATGAAACATTACAGTAAAAAAAAACTATCTAGTTAGCGTGTGGAAAATGTATGGAGTGAAGTGTTGTGCGGTGGCAAGTCTCTCTTTTTGTCATTTTTTACTTTTTTTAATTAAAAATTAATTAACTTATCTTTTTTCATAAAAATAGATGTACTCATTTTTAGAAAAAAACTTGATTAGAGTAACAATTCTTACTGGCGAAGTCATTATTATTTTTATTTACTTTAAATTTAAAAAAATACTTTTATAATCTATTTTATCATAAAAATATACTCCCTCCGTTTTTTAAAACACTTCCTCTTTCATTTTTTTTACTTCCAACAAAACACTTCCACTTTCTATTAAAAAACCACTTTTACCCTTACTTTTTCATACCTTACCTATCACATCATACTTTATATCTAATAATCTATCCATCACATCTTACTTTTACCTATCACATCAAGGGCAAAATTGGAAGTCAACTACAATTTAATACTTCCTTATTTTTACACAAAGTCAAAATAGGAACACTTTTTCCAAACGGAGGGAGTATATGTTTCCAATACCTTTATAAAAAGTTTATTTGTTTCTTAAGTTAAAAAAGAGAGAAAAAGGTTTTGGGAGTAATGAAAATATATTCGGTTTTTCCTTTTTGCACTTGGTGGATTTATAATCAACTAGCTACTTTTGTACTCCGTATTAGAAAGGAAAAGTGAGAAAATATCTAAAATGGAAACAAACATGTTAAATATATTCTTACTATATTTAATATTAATGTATATTGGTAGCTTCCATAATTGTACAGGGTGTAATTAATATTGTTTCCTATCATCATTAGAAAACTCTTGTATATATACACATGTAATCCCCATAATAATTCATGTGAAAATATTCATTCTTCATGGTATCAGAGCTTTAATC